ACGTGTCTTAATGTTGAGCTGAACACAATGACTTCCCTGTGTCTACTGTTCCTGCAGGCAGCTTGGACAGCATTTAAAGTATTTGCTTACAACAACAACAAAAAAAAAAAAGTGCGTGTCTCTCCTGCATATTTGGATACATCAACATAAAACACACAGACACTGTTAAAGACCTTACCTGAGGCACTGCTAGAGAACATTTGGCAACAGCCTCGTAGGCCTCTTGATGTCTCCCCAACTCCTTTAAAGATTTTGCTTTCCTGTACAGTGCTCTGTAGTTCCCTTCATTCAACTGGAGAGCCTTTTCACAGTCTTCTAATGCTTGGTCATACAGTCCCTGAGAAAAAAATAAAAATAAAAAAAGATGTCCCAGAGTTTGAAAAGCTATACTTAACCATAGTACTGTAGTAAACACAGAACAAAGAAGCCACTCTTTGATCGCAAATTGACTTTGCATGTCCAGTGAGTTGAGTCAGGTGTGGGTGTGGCCTCCCTGAAGACAGCAGAGTGCCATTTACTGCCATGTAACATGACTCAATGCAGACAGACGAAGACTAGATAGAGGGACTGGATGTTCCTCTGAAAAGCATTTCCCCAAATGGAAGTTTTCTCAGTGGATCTTAAGTTTCTCCATTGATTTTCAGGGTTTGACAGCGTTCAGTGTGAAATATGCCAACAGCTGCACCAAAGATTCAGATGTAAGAATTTACCACTACAATGTATGGGAGGGTAAAACGGGTGAAAAAAGAAGACTACGGTTTGTTTTATCAATTTAAAAATGTAACGGTAGCCTGTAAGCTCAGGTGGTATCACGGTATAGCAGGGCAGTGTTTTCCTTATATGCGTTCAGGAGCGACAGTGTGCCGCTGCTGAATTGTGACCGCTGCGACTAAAATTTCACACAATCATTATCATATCAATGCGCTACTAATTTTCGCTGACACACTGTGTCAGCACGGTAACACTCATCGCTTGGCTCGCTTCCTCTCCTCGTTCTTCACAGAACATCTACGTGACAGATGATGTTATAGCAGGAGGGGGGTGCGTAGCAAGTGTTTGATTGTCCAAGCGGAGAAAGTGACTGAATGAGCGCAACAAGAAAATATTCTGGCAGTAAATGTACGGTGTCAGTTTCGGTGTGTCAGCTTCTAAAGACCAAGAACACTCCGTCTGTTTCCCCAACTGCTGGAAAAATGAAGCTGGTTTGCGCTAGCTAACATCTCCCCTCCCCTTCAGACTAAGCAGGAAAGCTAGTACGCTACGTCTTTAGCTGCTATGTAACTTAACATTAGCTGAATTTATAGAAAGTAACTGGTAGCTGTATTTTATTAATACCTACTTGTCCAATGTTGAGATCATCAGGTACAAATGTAGACTAAACTGGTGTAGCCTACAGCTCTGTCCTGTACAGACAGGTACATCCTAAATTATTTTTCAGATGAGTAAGAAAAAAAAATGGTTGTTAGGAAAAGAAAGGACGGAGGTGACTGGAGGTTAGTAAAGCAAATTAGTGATGCAAACTAGACCTTTTTGAATTTTAATGTGCAAATAAAATCTACCTCAGAAGGGAAAGATTTTCTCATGCTGCCTATTTTTTATATTAATGTCTATAGATTCTGAGGTCATATTAACAGGGTTTTAGGGGGGGATGCTGTGCCATAAATGTAAAATCACTGTGGTGAGCGGAACAACCAACCAAGTAACCAAATCTAAAGGTTGTAGTTCCTCCAGTAGGCTGATCTTCGGGCGTTGTTTATTTATTACCTGCTACATGATCATTTTTCCAACTAATTGTTCAGAGATATGGTGAAAATAATGGCCCAAGATAATGTGAAATTACATATTTTTCATTGGTAAATGTAATATTTTCTTGGGGAGAACCCCCAAACCTCCCCACCCCTCTGACCATGACTACTACGACCACCACCAAAACATTCATCTAAAGCTCACATAAAACGGCAGGAAAACACTGAAATTTTAAGACATGTTGTGTTGGGGTTTTATATTCAGACATACTATGCACTATGCGCACAAAAAAAAAAAAAACTGAAGGGTATTTAGAAATCCCGAAGGTATGACTTTTAATATCAAAAACTGATAAGCTGATGCTGTAATGAGGTGATGTGTTGTAGTGTACTCCCTCAACGTAGGCGGGCAGCATAGCGTAAAACACCCCGACATCATCTTCAACACGATAACCCCTTTCATATCCCATTTTTCCCCCTGCAGTTGGGAAAGAACACACACACACGCTTTACTTTGGTCTTGAGAAGCTGCAGCCTTCATTCACTGACAAACTAACCTAGACTGTACAAATGTACTGCCTGTCTGCTCAACCATCACTCTCACTCAGCCACACACTTACTACGCACACAAAAAGGAGCTAATCATTGGCGACTGCAAGGGGTGGGAATACCGTTACAGGACTAGTTACAAAAAAAAGGGGAAATAAAACTCTGCCCCTGTTTGGGTGTGTTTTGGTTTAGTCCTGATGATAAAAGTGCTGTGCGAACATCATCTTCGTTTAGACTACACAATGCAATCCATGGTACACTTTACCCCGGTGAAATGTCAGGAAGGTATGATAAAATAAAATACTGCCCAAGCCTATTAGCCTGGTTTGTCAGCTTGAACAGTATTTAACATAGAGTTGGCAAACTCTGAAAGTAATGTAAAGATCCTCTTTTTCTCCAAATATGGATAAATGATGTAATGAGAAATTCTAGCATTGATATATTAAGTCAAATTTGAAAACACTCTCTTGCTGTCTCAAATTATAACACGCTTTGTGTTTTGAGGTTGAAAAGCGCTGTATAAGTACAGCTTATTTACCATTTTTGTTTTGAGAAATTAATTATTTTGGTCATTTATGATCTATTCTTGAACTAATGTATACATGAATAGCAAAATATTCTGCTGTCCTAACTAAACAAGGTCATAGTTAACGTTGCATTATGGGCCACAAGCAGGGGACCTTTCTAAAAACTCTTGTTTAATGTTAAAGAAACTGAGGATAATAATTGCAGTAACATTTAAGAACCCAGTCTCTGTTTTATTCTGACATTTGGTAAACAGAGCAAGCAATCCAACCTGTGGAAAACAACGGAAACTTTTGGCCAATAACCTAAAGGATGCAGGTTCTATTAAACCACAATATAGGGCTGGGCAATAAAACAAAAATGACAACTATCACAATATAATTTTCCTCAATAACAATATAACAAATGTTCAATAATTGTTTGATTTAATTCATTTCAATTACAAACAAATTAGCACTTTTCTATTAAGATATTTATTTTGTTGATGAAAGGGGACTTAAAAATGATTTTACTTAACTTTAACATATTTGTTAAAAAAATATTTTATCATAATTGTTTTGAATGTTCTACCTCAGATTTGTTAAGTGGTCCACTGTTTAGCATGTGTTTGTAATTTTTCAAAGAAAGAAAGAAATAATGATTTCACAATTTTCGTGATGATTACCGATATTGTATGATAAAACATTTTTGGCCATATCGCCCAGCTCTACTACAACATAAAGCAAACAATTTTATGAGACCGAAAACTGTCTGTTGTATTGTGTGCATGTCAAAGGGAGTTCAAAGTGATTGGAACAGAAACTGAAAGACTCAGGGTCAGTGGTGACGGTCACCACGTACTTACCGGAACAATGTTTAAATACGCAGCGGCCCGATTAGCATACAGCTTTTCCAGTAAACCTGTTGGAATACAGATTTCTTCCGAGTCAGCATACTCTGCTATACTCAAGGCTTCGGTGTACATCTCAATGGATTTTGTCCAGTCCCCTTCTTTAAACACGTCATTTCCTTCTCCAAAAAGATTCCACACGAGATCCTTAATGAACACCTGAAAATTTAAGGAGGTACAAATCAGTAGAAGCTACACACAGTGCAGCGTTGTACTTTCATTCAAGCACCTTTAATTAGGAAAAATTCCTAAATCAGTGTAACTCCGTACAGTCATGCTAGATGGAAGCTGAACAAACCACATTAATATGTACATAGCATACCTCATACTTATCTTGACTTCCAGGAAACGGAAGGGTTGATCTGAAAACAACAAAAGGTTCATGTTACAAACCTTTGAAGTGTCAGCAGAACAAAAACAACATAACCGGGAGTCAGACATTAACAGATCTTATTAGAATTCAGTTGCATTCAGGGCTAATAAGTCTATTCAGCACAAAGTAGGACTGAAAGAAATTCAATTAATCTACCAATTATTTTCTTAAATATTCATTTAGTCATTGTACACATCTTATTGTTCATATTTATCAAAATCACTTGAGTGAATCGGGTTAATTTTCAATGTATTTAAAGTGATGCAACAATAAATTTCAATATATTTTAACATCTATATTACTACAGTTGATACAGTATATTCTGTTCTGCACAGTCACTGAAAAACAGATCTGAACTTAAGATGGAAGAACACACAAATAGAAAGGGGTGTGTGTGTGTGCTGATAGGTTGCTGTGTGTGCAGGTGCTGATGGCATTGGCTGGTGAATGCAAACAAGTCAGCAAAAGCAACATGTAAACAAAACTTCCCTCTTAAAAAAAGAAAGACAAACATTGAACTCAGCATTAAAAATATCTATAATTGTTATATTTTTAAAATGCTATGTTATTTATATGGTTGATGTGTCCAATTATACCAAAACATTAAACAAAAAAAAGCTAATTAAGGCTGTGTATATACTATAGATGTCTCAACATGGTTCAAATCAGAAAAATACAAAAAATAAAAAGACATTATTACTGCCCTGTCATGATTTTTGTTCAAGGTAATACACATCTGCATGCTGACAGAACTAAAGTTCCTGTCAAGATTAGCAACAGCTATTACTAATCTGGTACATTGCTAAATTGGGCAGATGATTTGTTTTACATTAAACCAGCTGTATCGTCAAAGGATGTGCCATTACATGTGATGATGGAAAATTTTGCAATAATAATCACAGCGACACTGTTGTGTTATGCTGGTTTCTAGAGCAGCTGGCATTTGAAGTTGTCTTTCCTCTTTTGCACACTGCACTACGGGGGCAACAAAGTTTTAGTTTAGATCACTGGAGGCATGCTAAACTCGCTTTCAGATTCCAACTAATGAAGAAAACAGCTGTAACACAAAGGCTCACCATACAGATAACACCAGCAGCATGCTGAAGTTACATTTATAAACCTGTCTGTAAATGGTTAAATGTAGTGACTCATTCTAATTCCTGTTAACACTGCTGTTTCTCTTTCCGATCCATTTCCAGCATCAGTTATTCATCTTTAAGGTGTAGGTTGCTATATTGTTATTATGAAGTATTTACTGACGTCAGTAGTATTTTAAGTATCACTTTTGTTTATGAATAAAAGGCCCTGTCAGATTAGATGAAATGAAACACTGCGCTGCCTGGCGTAGCTCCAAAACAATGTGGACATACTACTACAAGTCGGCCTGATGCACGAATACATCCCACATTAAAAACAAAACCAAAGCAAAGCCAGTATGATCAGCTGCCTCGCTGACACCCAGCTGATCTGAACAACAATGCATGGTGTAAGGCTGACAAATCACTCTTACATCATGCTGTCTATAGAGGCTGCTTTCTCATTAAAAAGGATCCGCAAACACAGGCAGCGACAGCAGCAGGAAAGTACTTGTAGCCGATCTTAAGAAATCCCAACTGATGTTTTTCTTATCCTACAATGTTCCCAAGATAGGATGATAAGAAAGACTAGTGGGTATGGCAGCATTGGAAAGTATCAAACATAAGATCTGACCAGTTGTTACACTTTACACAAGCGTGCTACCTATTAGGGTATTATACCTAATATTATACAAGTAAATTTCAGGGAGACCCTCCACCCCAACTTTAACAACCCATGACACTTACTGGATGAACTGCAGGCCTTTCTGAATCTCCTGCCAGCGACTTCTTCTGTCCTGACATGCTCTGGACATGTTTGCCTGTTTTAATATCCACTCCTCAGCCAGCACCTGAAATTATTATGATATACAGCACTATATTTACTGATGAATGTCTCTGGAGAAAAAAAACTCAAAACAATCACAATATAAAAGCACATTAGCTTATCATTAATCACCATCAGCAGGCTGTCCAGCTGGTTAAGGGACAGATCATATGTTGAGTGTTAGTATTACTCATATTACTGAAAGTCTTTAAGAGCTGCCTCCAATGTGTATAGCTTCCGCATTTAGAAATGACGACAGACAGTTCCGGAAATTACGGATAAACATTTTTGTTGGCTTGCCAGGTTATGATGCTAACAAAATAGTGCAATTTAAGCAATGTTACACTGAAACCTACACACCTGAAGCTGTGGAAGATAAAGGGTGCGCTGGGAAATTGTCTGATCCTATCTTGCGAAAGAACGGGGTCCATTATCGGACATAATTTCTCTGGAGTATTTCAGATTTTGTAACGTTTGTTTTCTAAAACATTCACATGTTTCAACATACGGGTAAAAATATTTACATTGGGTAAAAAAAATATATAGTTTATATTGGAGCTTAAAACGTTATCGCCATTTATCATGTGTTTTTTCATGCAGTCACAGCGCATAAAACCGCCAAGCCAAACTGTCAACCCCACCACGTCATAGCAAATGTTTAATACTCATTATTGTTTTGACCATTTTACTTTACACTCATTTAAAACTTACTGCCAATCAAATGAGAATCTGGGTTAACGTATTATCACAAAATGTTCAACGCATGAGTCAGGAAGATGGTGATGAGGTTAGCAGTTATGGTCAGCAGAGCCAAAATTAACTTTATTCAAGCATTTTCTTGTTTATAAGCTTTTATCGCTAAACAATCATGTCTGGTAGAAGACGGCGACTTCCACTGACAGTGGAAAAATACATGCTTTAAGTTTTACGGATAAGAAAGCACCCTTACAAGGAGGTGTCCGATAACGGACGCATACCATTTAGCGCACGTGTGTTACCGCGGCTTGGGACCACAGAGTGTACACTTTTCGTTAGCAATCATCATCTGCTAGCAGTGGGTTAGCAATATGTAGCTCACATAGTTAACCACTATCAATAACACATATAATCCCAACTGATGACACTCAACAGTTTTCTCCGCTGTTGGAAACACACTGACCAAAACCAGCTACATGACGTTAACGGACTAAGTTTCTAGGAAGTAGACTGAACCTAACAAAGCACAGGCATGTACAAGTTAAACTAGTTCCCCAACGCAAACAATAGCGAGCAGTAGATGTTCAGCTCCTGCCCGAGACCTGACGTATATACCACAAATAATTTAACAATCGCTGCTGTAAATACTTACATGAATATATCTTTATTCCAGACAAACCTCGCGTCGGTTATCTGAAAGGAGGGAAAGTGATTTCTCGTTATAGCTAAATTAACTTGCCTGGATGTGCTGTATCGGTGAAGGCCGCCCTTTGCTTCTTCTTCCTCAGTCTTCTCAAGTACAGCAATCATCGACTCCAGCGCAGTGCTTCCCTCTACAGGCAGTGGAAATGTTGAAATGTACGAAAAAGGACAATGCAACTTCAACATAGAGCAATAAACTAATATTTCTATTATAATAATGGTACAAATAATGATTGCTGTTCTTATTATATTAGTATTGTATCATATTAGTTATATTATAATATATTAGTATGTTGTTTTTATTATTAATATTGAATATAGACAGATCAATACAGGTGTTTTATGCATACATTTAAGTTGTTGTTTATTTGTTTGTTATTGGTGTAGTTTCATTTAATATATATTAATTTCATATGCACATTTGTGGAACAAAAAATGGCACAAAAACATAGCAATAAAATGCAGTTATAAAATATATAGAAATAAGAATAGTCACAATACAAATTCTAAATTAGTTCACACTGAATTAGTATTAGTATTAAGAAACGTTTTGTAGTTTTATTTTATTTTATCTTGGTGTATGCTAATGAGGATTATTACCTTGTAGGTAATAGCTGACCATGTGGACAAAATGTATTTGTCTTTGAGCCATTATACTTTTGTTACTTGCAAACTGTCCACTTAGGAAGCAACACTGATTGACAATCAATTTCACATGCTGTTGTGCAAATGGAATTGACAACAGGTGGAAATTATAGGCAATTAGCAAGACACCCCCAATAAAGGAGTGGTTCTGCAGGTGGTGACCACAGACCACTTCTCAGTTCCTATGCTTCCTGGCTGATGTTTTGGTCACTTTTGAATGCTGGCGGTGCTTTCACTCTAGTGGTAGCATGAGACGGAGTCTACAACCCACACAAGTGGCTGAGTTAGTGCAGCTCATCCAGGATGGCACATCAATGCGAGCTGTGGCAAGAAGGTTTGCTGTGTCTGTCAGTGTAGTGTCCAGATCATGAGGCGCTACCAGGAGACAGGCCAGTACAGCAGGAGACGTGGAGGAGGCTGTAGGAAGGCAACAACCCAGCAGCAGGACCGCTACCTCCACCTTTGTGCAAGGAGGAACAGGAGGAGCACTGCCAGAGCCCTGCAAAATGACCTCCAGCAGGCCACAAATGTGCATGTGTCTGCTCAAACGGTCAGAAACAGACTCCAGATGAAAGCAGGTTCACACTGAGCACATGTGACAGACGTGACAGAGTCTGGAGACGCCGTGGAGAACGTTCTGCTACCTGCAACATCCTCCAGCATGACCGGTTTGGCGGCGGGTCAATAATGGTGTGGGGTGGCATTTCTTTGGGGGACCGCACAGCCCTCCATGTGCTCGCCAGAGGTAGCCTGAAATGCCATTAGGTACCAAGACGAGATCCTCAGACCCCTTGTGAGACCATATGCTGGTGCGGTTGTCCCTGGGTTCCGCCTAATGCAAGACAGTGCTAGACCTCATGTGGCTGGAGTGTGTGAGCAGTTCCTGCAAGAGGAAGGCATTGATGCTATGGACTGGCCCGCCCATTCCCCAGACCTGAATCCAATTGAGCACATCTGGGATATCATGTCTCGCTCCATCCACCAACGCCACGTTGCACCACAGACTGTCCAGGAGTTGGCGGATGCTTTAGTCCAGGTCTGGGAGGAGATCCCTCAGGAGACCATCCGCCACCTCATCAGGAGCATGCCCAGGCGTTGTAGGGAGGTCATACAGGCACGTGGAGGCCACACACACTACTGAGCCTCATTTTGACTTGTTTTAAGGACATTACATCAAAGTTGGATTGGCCTGTAGTGTGGTTTTCCACTTTGATTTTGAGTGTGACTCCAATTCCAGACCTCCATGGGTTGATAGATTTGATTTCCATTGATAATTTTTGTGTGATTTTTTGTTGTCAGCACATTCAACTATGTAAAGAAAGGAGTACGGGAGATTGAGAGAAGAGATTATTTCATTCATTCAGATCTAGGATGTGTTATTTTAGTGTTCCCTTTATTTTTTTGAGCAGTGTACAAAGAAATAGCGATACCGGAAATATTAAATTAGTATTAGTAATAGCGATGGTCCTTATTTCTGGAATCAATTCAACCATTCTTTTCTTTTCTTTTTTCATAATTTATTTGATCTGAAATTTTGTCATCTACAAATTAAGTTTGCACTCTGTTTAATAAGAGTTATCAAAACAAGTACAAATACGTGAGAGCAGCAGACATATAGATCTGTGTGAGGAAACACATGCCCTGATCTTAATTTTCATCCTTTCCTGACTTATTTTTCTTTCGCAAAATTAGATTGGAGCTACTGATTCTCATTCAGGAAGAATTCACCCACAGACTCCCAGCAGGGCAGACAACAAACAGATCAAACATTAAAAAAAAACACTAAAGCAGCAGTAATTATCCTTTTGTACCAAAGGAACACTGCTACTTTGAAGAGTGACTTCCTCTTTCTGCATCTTATAAGTGATGTGTGAAATGTCAAATCCATTATGCCAAAGTGAAAACAACAGTCCAGAGTTTAGTCAGTTTGCATTTTAACAGCACAGGATCAGAGAATTATTTTGGAATGTGTTTTTGGTTTACTTTGGTGTTTATTCTACCCCAAGACCTACTCGATTTGTTGTTAAATTAAGTTTCTCAGGCTGAAACTATCTTGCCTTTTGTCGAGTGTTTGTCATTTAATCTGAAAAATGTATTTTTGGATCGTTTGTTTATGTGCAATCTTACTGTCATTCACATATCATCTCACCCTCAGTCCTCTGGGAGACTTATGTCAACAAAACCAGAATTTAACACTGTACATTGTCTGGGATTTTGCTTTCTGTTGAGATCATTGCACATTTGTAACTGCTTCACATTAACATTAACAGCTTTCAGCCAGATGTGTTCTGCCTGATATGATCTAAATGTTGACTGGACGTTTTGTGGCAATTGGCAGGTTGAGCTAAAAATAATCAGATATACAGGGTTCGAGGGATGCGTCTCCTCTGATGCAGTCACCCTGTTAGCTATAATAACTGCCAGTAGGAGGCGCTTATCTCACATTGTGCAGAAGCATCATTGGGGAACTGAATCACAGAAAACTGTGAATGTGTCCCCTCTTATCAAAAGCCAAAGCGTGTGTCTTTTATGATTTAGCTGCACTGACATTACCACTTTATGGATGACGATGGAGTCCAGTGCGGCAGAGCTGAAATATACTTTCAGAAAACATAAAAAGATGAAAAGCAAAGATATGACACAATTCATGCCATTTTCAGATCAGGTCTGCAATTTGTCATATAAACAAACTGAGCTGTGAGACACTTGGAGTGCTGCTCAGTAAATCACACTGACAATAATGATAGCTGTAGTATGTCTGAGTGGTTGTTTTACGGAGAGAAGCCCTGTTCTATTCACCCCTACTGACATGTTTATTTCCAAGGGGAAGAAAACGGATGAGATGCGTGAGGGAAATCTATATTATTAGAGCACAATTACAATAATCTGCAAGTCTGGGTGCATTTGTTGGGAGGAAGTGGAACCATATATAGTGTTGTTTGCAGTAACCATATATGTGTTAAAAAATTAGCCCGCAGACGCCAGCAGGATTTTCTTGTTTTTTGGTATGTGTTTAATTTTTTTACCATACTGTATGAATACAGGATTTATTTGGAAAAGCTCAGACTGACTTGAGTTTTATGTGAGAACCATTAATCTATAATTAAAAACAGCATCCAGAGTGATACTTATCTGTAAAATATATGCTATGTGACATGTGGCTCAGCAAGATAGTCAGAAACTTTTCTTGTCAGTCTTTTGGTGCACGATTGGCGCAACATCCCAACACCCCAACTTCTCTGTCTGTGATTTTTAGAGGCCCTGGCATTGGCAAAAATAACATTTAGGCAAGACACAGTGATGCTAATACATAAATAAAAGAAAAAAACAATAGATAAACAAATTTGTTTTCATTGCTATCTGCGTATGAGGATGAGCTGCAAACACAGGTCTTACAGAGCTGTGAAGAAGCAGTAAAACAGCTTCAGGCTGTTTCCTGAAGGGGGCGTACAGTTTGACAAACACTGGATTAGCCTCTGGCCAATGGTGATGCTCAGGAGATTATTCACACAGCCTCTAAAAAAAGCTCTCCACTCAATGCCACACTCACAGACTGTAAGTGAAAATCACTTGGTCTGGGGTTCAGCTGCCTATTTCTTGCCATGACTGCGTTTTACCGGATACTTCTCCTGTTATCTGGTAAGTTGATTATTTCCTTTGTAGTGGAGCTCCAATTAGTGATAAAAAGCAGTCGAGTTAAGAAGTTTTTTAAGGACACAAAGGCAGTCCATGTAGATTCAGTGCCTTGAAGTGGAAATTAAGTCTGTTTACATATGCACAGTGATTCAGTGAAAGTGTTATTCTAAGAGGTCAAGTGCAGACAAGCTAAACTGTTTTTGCACAACATTATCTACTGTCCCGTCATTTCAAGCCTGACCCTGATTCAGGTGTCCAGGCAGAGTGTAGCTTTCTGGTGTTCTGTTACTTAGGTTGAGTGGTAAGTAAGAAAGTAAGTAAGTAAGTAAACTTTATTTGTAGTGTAGTGCTTTAAACCAACAAGAGGCACCAAGGGCCATACAAAAACATTAACGTACAAGAATAAAAACACAGAAGATAAAATACTCACGCACACCACGGGAAGAGGAAGTGAACTAACAGCACAGCATGTAATATAAATATATAATAATTGCACCAGATGTAATATGATATGTCACATTACCACGGCTCATGGTAAAAATGCCCAACAAATGCATAGTACATAATAAAATACACAAATAAATACAGAAGATGCAGACCTGGTGCATACAGGTTACCCAAACTCCCGTCTGAACAGATTTCTTTTAAAAGAATCTGCAGAACGTAAGAATGCTGGCAGTGCATTTCAAAGTCTGGATGCAACGGCCTCAAAAGCTCGTTCACTAAATGTCTATGTTATTTATCTAAAGGCAAGTGCGTGTTCAGATAGCAGGTTTTACTTGTTAGACTTAGTAGAGCGGCTGATGGGAGTAGTAGTTCAGCCACATACCTTCATAGAGGTCTGCTTTGTTAATTGTTTGTTTGACTATTGTATTAGACTGAATTGCCTATCTAATAAAGGGC